TGGAGGAAGGAAGGAAGGAAGGAAGGAAGGGAGGGAGGGAGGGAGGGAGGGAGGGAGGGAGGGAGGGAGGGAGGATGGATGGAAGGAAGGAAGGAAGGAAATAAAGGAGGGAGGGAGGAAGGGACGAAGGAATGGAGGGAAGGAGGGGAGGAAGTAAGGGAGGATGAAAGAGAGAGAGGAAGGAAAGGAGGGAAGGAGGGAGGGAGGGAAGGAGGGGAGGAAGGAAGGAAGGAGGGGGAAGGGAGAAAGAATGAGAGCAAGAGAGAGCGAGAGAGAGCGAGCGAGCGAGTGAGAGAGAGAGAGAGAGAGAGAGAGAGCGAGCTTCTAGGCCTTGGGAGGTACAGTCATGCCCAGGAGCTAGAGCAGCAAGCATCGGGGACTCCAGGCGGCCCCGGGGTCCCTTGCCATGGCTGTGACTGTGGCACTCAGAGCATCTACGCTAAGACAGATCCAACAGTCTTGTGGGTCTGGGCTCTCACAGCGGCCTTGGGCCCGCTGGAGGCCAACACAGGGCCCTCCCCCTGGGCAGCTGCGATCCACTCTTCTCCCCTGGCTTGGTTCTCGTCTTCTGAACGTTATTTTTTCAAACTCTTTGTGTTTGTGTGGTTGGGGGCGGGGGGGCTGGAGTGCTCAGGAGTGACCCCTGGCCGGGGGAACCATGTGTGGTGACGGGGATTTGAAGTGAGGTCAGCAGGGTCCAAGGCCGGGGCCTGACCCCCACACTCTCTCCGGCCCTGTAAGCTGCCTCAGTTCTACCTGATAAGGCCTGTCCTGTATGGAATTAGGAGGGCAAATCTGCTTGCTGCTGTTTTCGGAGTAGACTGGCAGCACGTGGCAGACATTAGCTCTCCGCGTGCAGTTCCCATGCTCGGAGAACTCACAGAACAGAGGGCAGCACCGTGAGCACTTGCCCAGGAGCCTGGCCGGCCAGAAGTCAGCTCTGAGACGATCGGGGATGGGGCGGAGGGTGCTCAGGATGGAAGATCCAGTGCTCGCCCCAGAAGGGGGGAGACGGAGAAATTAAGCAAACGAACCAACGGCATGAGAACAAATCTGCAGATTCTGAAGACGAAGGTGTGGTGCCCCGTGAAGGCTGAAAGGAAAGGGGCCAACTGTGAAGTAGAGGGCGACGGGGATGAGCCCGCACTGGCCACCAGGAGGGCCTTCACACAGGCCGGAAGTACAAAGCAGCAGGCTCGTAACCTCCCACCCGAGCCCTGGGGTGTCAGGGAGAGCAGGAAGGGCTGCTGGACGGGCCCTCGGGCAGGGAGCTCCGGACCTCAGGCCACGGAGAGGAAATGAATGAGTGGAAAGGGGCCCGCAGGGCACGGCACCCTCTGGGCTTCTGGCTATGAATCTGGATCTGTGTTTACCTTAACCGAGCACTGGCCGGGGAGTCCACCTCCATTTCGGGGGCACCTACCTCCATGCCCACCCCTCCGTGCATTCCTCTCCCCTGACCACTCATTTGCTCTGAGCCCGGCACTGCCGTTCGCTGCGTTCTGCCATCTAGTTTGTGTGGTTTATTTACATTCCACAGAGCAGAGAGACCAGCTGGTGTTTCTTTCTGAGCTTGCTCCGGATAATCACCTCAACTCCATGCATGGAGCTGCGCTCCCCGTAAACAGAAGCCCCCCCGCCCCCCCCCCCAGGAAGGCGCTGGTGCAGGATGCTATTTCTCCACCAGGGCCGTGCCACACAGTGCGACTGTGAGAGGGAACTGCGGGGGGAGGTGGCGGCCGCATCTCTGAGCCTGAGCCCCCCTGTCTGGGGTGAAGGCTACACGGGAGGAAGCTGGGGTGGAGCTCGGCGCGGAGCCGTGAAGAGGGGAGGTGACCAGGGAAAAGTTGGGTCCAGGCCAGGACTAAAGAACTCCCAGTGCTGATAAATGAACGGAAACAACCTAAGGTGTCTTCCCTCACGTCTGATTTCTTTCTTGGTTTGGGTTTTGAACTGCAGGGGCAGGGAGAGGGGAGGGGGGGCAAACCCAGTGGTGCTGTGGGTCCCACCAGGAGGTTTCTGCCCCTCCTAAGGCCGAGATGCAGGGACACAGAGACTCCACCCCCCACTCCCGTCTAATCTATTCTAGCACAGGGAGGAGGGGGTGGGACCGGTCTTGCCAGTAGCGGTACCCTCCAGAGGACGCTTACCCAGGGAACCAGAAGGAAGCCAGGGTACCTGGCTGCAGGACGGCGCTGGGCTGGAGATAGGGAGCTGGGCTGGAAAGGTCTGTTTGTTCATTTTGAGGGGGCCACACCCAGCGGTTTCAGGGCATCCCCCTGGCTCTGCAGTCAGGGATCACTCTGGGTGGGCTCCGAGGGGCCATATGGAGTGCCAGGGATCGACGATTCCAGGTCAGCTCTACGCAAGGCAAGCGCCCTACCCGCTGTACTATGGCTCTGGAGAGGGGTTTCCAAACCACTGGTTTCAAAGTCACAAGATCACTTAGTAAGTTTGGATCAGCTTCCCGCCACCCCCCCCCCCCCCCCGCCATGGAATAGAATAAAAGATATATCAGAATATATACTGCACATAAAAGCAAATTTTACTTAAAAAAAAAAGAAATCTTGTGTTCAGTTCTGTGTGCGTGTGCGTGCATGTGTGTGTGTGTGTGTGTTGCAGGTCACAGTATAAAATGCCTTTGGAGGAAGGGATGGTGCGGGGGGTGGGGGGGAATGAGCCTCACCCAGCTGTGTTCAGGGCTGTTCCTGCTGGTGCTGGGGAGGCTTTCTGTGATGCCGGGGGTCGATCCACCTACCTGCCTACCTACTTGCCTATCTATCTAGTCTGGCCATCATAGGAACCCCGGCGGTGGGCGTGGAATGATGAAAGCATCGAACTACCCCTGACAGCACTGCGAACCACGGGACATCAGTAAGAACGGTGGGAAAAAAACGCCTGAGCTCTCGCTCCGGTCCCATGAAGGAATGAAGCGGCTCAGAGGCGCTGCGAGCAGGGAAGGAAGCCTAATGAAAAAGCTGTTCGTTTATATCCATGACAAACTGCTCGGGGCCGGCCTTGGGGCAGAGCGACGGGCCGTGGAATGGTGGCCTGGGGGTCGGATGGCCTGGGCAGCGGCCACTCTGTTCAGCTGCTGTCAACTCAAGACACGCTGTGGAGCGGGTGGGTAGCCTGAGGGTGGCGGGGGGGGGGGGGGCGCGAGGGGGCCTTCGTCCCGGAGGAGTGGTCTGGAGCAGATCCCACTAGAGTGGACGGACCTCAGAGTGCTGGCCACAGCCATGGCAGAAGGAACAAGGGCTGGGAAAGTGGAGCATGGAGGACGGGGCTGAAAGCTGGAGGGAGAGAACGGGGCCGGCAGGCCCAAGGCTGGTCCCAGAGACACAGGAAGACCCCGGAGGTGGTGGTGTCTGGGTTGCAAAGAGCAGAACGTGCCCCAAATCGTGAGGGTCACTCGGCACCATGACCCCCTCCAGCAGCGCAATCGGCCCCCCACGCCCGCAGCACGGGCCCCAGCCAGCCCTGGAGTCACCCTCCAGCCCGCCAAGTCCCACGGCGCTGCTGGATGTGGCCTCCAGCGCAGCCACTAAGTGGCTGTGTTCTCTCGGGGAAACTGCTCCCGTCTCCTGGCTTCTGTTTTACCGCCTGTGAACCGGGAGGCGACGGCCCCCCCCACCTCACAGTAGTTTGGTGATAATTAAGTGAGCTGATGCCTGCCAAAGGCTTTGAACAGGGCCTGCCACGGGCTGCAGGATCTGCAGGTCTGAGCCTTCTAACAGCCACACCCTGCCCCGCCACCCCCAGTCTGGGAACTGCCACCAGACCCGAGTGTCTGGGTGACAGCCAGAGTCTCCGGCATGCTAGTGCTCTCCCTTGTCTCCCCCCATTCTCTTTCTGTCTGTCTCTCTCAATCTCTGCCTGTCTCTCTGTCTCTGTATCTCTCTTTCTCCCCTTCTCTCTATCTCTGTCTGTTTCCTTCTCTCTCTCTCTCTCTTTCCCTCTCTCTACATTTCCACTATGGCTCTACCTTGAACACGCATTCCGCGTCCCCCCACTCATGTCTGAGTGACTATTGTTTGAGAGAAACTAACGTCTTGTGAAAAAACTGAAGTTTCCAACAAACCGCTCTGGCGCAGCGAGCGGGGCCCCAGAGATTCTGTTCCAAAGTCTCTGCCTATAAAATTCCTTCTTTTATTGGTTGCCATTTTGGTTTTGGTTTTGAGGCCACCAACAGCGGCAGTGCTCACGCCTGGTGCCTGGGGACCGTGTGGTGGCAGGGGTGGACCCTGGGGACTGGGCCTTCTTCCCGCCCTCTTTACATTCAGACCCTCTGCACGTCAGCCCACATGGGAGCCCTCCCCGTCCTTCTGGTCACTCCTCCTGCCCGGGGACACGCAGCCACCCAGCCCAGGGAAGAGGGTCCCTCACCACCCCGACCCGCCATCTCTGCTCTCCTATCCCTACAGCACTGACCGCGATGTCCAGCTATGAAGTATGGACACCAAGGACATGGCTGGGCCCAGCAGCAGCTCCCTGGGTTTTAAGCAGACACTAGATGATCGGACACTATCCCCGGGAGCATTCTGTCTGAACACCTGTTCTGTGTGCGCCTGTCCGGTCTGGGGACCTGGGGACCATTTCCGGCCAGACATCTTTCCAAGAACTACTGACCCTCCCACCACTCATTTAAAAACGTGGTTTGAGTCGGGGGGACAGATGTCACAGGAGCAGGAAATGCCGCATTTTACCCTGTTCATCCCCCCCTGTCCTGGGGCCTCTCGATGGAAGAGCCCGGGCAGCGCTGCACAGGGTAAGCTGTGGGCGCCCTGACTCTGGGTGTCCTTGTTTCATCGGAGCCCCCCCAGGGAGAGTCCTCTGCACTCTGCAACAGCAGGGGGGGGGAGGCGCTGAGCGCAATGCGCGGTCCCACTCACGGCCCCCCTTAGGGGAGGGGCGGGAAGGGGGCTGCGGAGGGAGGCACGGCGGCACAGGGCGCCCAGAAGGGCCGAGAACCTGACTCCAGCTCCAGGGTTCCCCCTTACCTGTGGACATGAAGAACGGGATGCGGAACTTGCCGCTGAGCACGCGGGCCCGCAGGTTCTGCAGCGTGCTCCCGTCGAAGGGCAGTGCTCCGCACACCAGCACGTAGAGGACGACCCCCAGGCTCTGCACTCAAACAGACAGCAGGAGCGTCACTCCCAGCAGCGGGCCCGGGGCGGGCAGGGGAAGGGAACAGCCTTCGCTCCCTCTCTGGGCCCCCCACCCCCCACCCCGACCCTCTTCTCTGCTCACAAACAATTCAGGAGAAAACATCTGAGATTTCTCTCAAGACTCATCTTGGGGGGAGATGCCAGTTGGCGAGCAGGGGGCAAACGTCCGTTCCGGGAGGAGCACCCGTGCAGGCCTGGCCTCAGGAGCGGGGGCAGAGGACTGGGAACCCGGCAGGGGAGCCAGGAAGAGCTGGTCTCCGTGTGGGGAGCGAGCAGGGCGCAGCGTACCCAGATGTCCACTTTGGGGCCGTCGTACTCCTTGCCTTCGAAGAGCTCGGGCGCAGCGTAGGGGGGGCTGCCGCACCAGGTCTTCAGCAGCTGCCCCGGGGTGAAGAGGTTACTGAAGCCGAAATCTGGAAAGGCAGACAGACAGACAGACAGACAGGGGTTACAGACGCGGTCGGCCTCCGTCCCAGAACGACCCTGGAAAGCTCCGCCCCCGTGCCAGCTATGAGGGACGCTGTGAGATGCGGCTCAGAAAGGCCAGACTGGCCCTGATGGCCGCCGTGGGACCGAGATGCCCAGTGACCGAGCTGGAAGCACAGAAGGGCACCGGGCTGACCCATGAGTCACCCTGGCTGGGTGGCCCAGAGTTTTCATGTTATTTTTACCTCTCTTGGGGGCATGCGGATAGACTTTGGTTGCGCATGGCTCGGTACTCAGGGGCTGTGCCTGGAGGACCACTTGGTGCCAGGAACCACGCCCGGATGCCCCGTGTGCAGAGAGTGGGCTCCAGGCTCCCACTCAGACCGGGCCTGACTCTCCCATCCTGCCTTCAGTCAGGACTGCTGGAGACACAAGGGCTCAGACACAGGCCGACAGGCTCGACCATCACCACTAGGGCAGCTCACCACTAGGGCAGAACACAGAGCTGGGGGAGGGGCGCTGAGGGGAGGAGGTGTCAAGCAGCATGCCCTGAAGATCACCAGATGGGACACCCGCCTGCAAATATGCAATTTATTTAGATTCAGTTACCAGAGCTGAGAACATTCCCAAAGCACCTGTGTGTGCACCTGCCTGGCCTCCTTTGCTCCGGCGGTTAGACAAGACCAGCCGGAGGAAAACCGGGACGAGGCAGGCGTGGCTGGCCTGCCACGGGAAAGCATGGAGGGAGTCGCCCCGCTACTTGGGCACTGTCTCAGCCCTGCGTTGCCCCCGTGTGTGGGACGCGTGTGACAAAGGTCTCCTCTGCCAGCTGCTCTTCTTTCTACCTTTGTCCCCGCTCCACGGAGGCATGAGCCGCTGTGACTCTCCTTGCCCTAGATTGTCCTGGGGCTCACCCTTCTGGTCCCACCACCATGGTTTCGGTGCAAATCCTCCCGCTCCCTACTGAGTCCCTGATGAAGCTTCCTGCCTTTGCCAGAGACTATGTCCCAGTCACTGAGTCTAAACTCCAGCCAGCTCCCCCGCCTGCCGGGGCCCCACACCGCTGGACAGCTCACGCCTGCTCTGACGAGCCTCTCCAGGCCACCTCGCCACGGTGCCAGGCCCTGTCCTGTCCTCCTTCAGCTGAAACATCCTCTCAGGACCAGCTGGTCATGACTCCCAGCCTGAAGTTCGACCTGATTTCTCCCACAAGCCACCATGCCAATGGCTTCCTCCTTCCCTCCACAGCAGCAGTCAGACTCCCCTCAACCTCCAGTGGGCTTGTCTGTTCTGTGCTTCTGCCAGTTAGGGAGCGGGAGGGGGGCGTTTCCGTTAGCCGAGTCCCCGCGTGTCCCCATGCGGAGTTATGATAAGCAGCAGGAACTCGAGAGGATGTCAGAAAATGAAAGTGCAAAACCACCTCTGGGCCACATCCCCGTCACCCACTGGCTGTTCAGCATCTTCTCGCACTGACAGGGGCAGCTGGCCACATCCCCCAAGGTCTAAAATTAACTTCACATCAAGAGAGGCTGAGGGGAGCAACTTTGTGAGCACCAAGTATTCTTAGGCATTCATGGAAAACAAATGCCTTCCAGAGTCTCCGAGGAAACGTTCTCCATCTCCTCTCTCCACGTCCCTTGTACTCTGTCTTTCCCGTTCCTGTTAAGTACTCCTGAGCGTAGACAGAGACCTCAGATAAGCATCTCCTCTCTCCTATCTCCTTGAGAACGAGTGGAGATTCACCCCTCTCGGCTTCTCTTACGTTACTGACGATGTTGAAACAGAGCAGGTACTTAATAAACGTTGGCTATGAACGAAATTGCATTTAGAGCACTACCAAATCACCCACAATTCCTGAGACCCAACAGTTTTAATTTACAAGTTCAAGTTTGCACACTCTAAATGCTTTAATATTTTTCTTTTCTTTTCATTGGAGCGATAGCACAGCGGTAGGGCGTTCGCCTTACAAGCGGCCAACATGGCCGACCCGAGTTCGATTCCTCCGCCCCTCTCGGAGAGCCCGGCAAGCTACCAAGAGTATTCGATATGCCAGACACAGTAACAACAAAGTCTCCAATGGAGACGTTACTGGGCCCGCTCGAGCAAATCGACGATCAACGGGAGGGCCTTTACCTTTACCTTTACCTTTCATTATTATTATTATTGTTGTTGTTGTTATTATTATTATTTTAAATAGCTGACCATTTTATCTGCTTTGGGTTCTTCGGCCATGCCAGGCTGTGCTCCGACCTTAACACCTGGCACTGCGCTCAGGGATCACTCCAGGCAGGGCCTGGGGGACCATATGTGGTGTCAGGGATCGAACTCAGGTCAGCTGTGTGCAAGGCAAGCGCCCTACCTGCTATACTATCACTCTAGTCCCCCTTCATATTTTTCTTAAGAGAACAAGAATATACTGCTAAAATCCCCAACAAATGAAATTCAGCAAAGCGATGTTTTTCCAGAGTATGTAGGAAGGGGATTCTAAATGCCTCCCTTTTAAATCAGTTTGTGAGGACCAGGCGCTGAGCAGAGAGTGGCGAGGGTCTGGTGAGTGGAGCTGGTCCCGTCTGCGAGTGCCTCTTCTTTGCGGGGTGCGAGAGCCCAGCACAATCAATGAGCAAAATTTCCCTTTTCCGGCTTGCTCTACCACTTTCACTTGTTGGCTGGGGCTGCACCGGGCAGGGCTTGAGCCTGCCCCTAGCACTAGGCTTGCAGGTCGCTCCTGGCAGTGCTCCATGGACCAGCTGGAGATCACACCTGGGTGTCCCTCCCAAGCAAAGCCCGGCCACCGGTTCATTGAGCTCTCCCCCGAACCCAACTCTCAACAGAAAGCCAGTTCCTTCCAGTGAGAAATCCTGGGATGTCCCAGTCAATTCTATCTGTTTTTTTATTTTTTTATTTTTTCAGCTTGGGGGCTACACCTGGTGGTGCTTAGGGGCCATTCCTGGCTCTGTGCTGGGGCGGTGTTCCAGCAGTGCTCTGGAGTCCAGATGCAGTTCCCGGGCTGAACCCAGGCCTCCCCCATGCAAAGCAGGCCCTGCTGCGTTCGTTATCTCTCCGCCCTCCTCATTCATTCCCATATGCAGCTCCCTCACCTCTGCTTCAACAGACTCTCTAAGTGCCCTGACACTACGGGCTGGGCCGCCACTGTCCTCCCTCCCCCCGGCACATATTCCACATAAACAGTCACTGCACGGCATCTTGCGAGTTAAGTCGTGGCTAGCTCATGGTCCGTGCAGCTAGAACACGACGTAGTTTCTGAACCCGGCCCCTGTCAGTGTGGGGAAGCCTGCAATTACTAACACACACCAAATCTGGAACGCATTTGGGAAGCGCAGCTCCCTCTAATCAACGCAGCGGGAAGAGGAGGGGAGACACAGGGGCTCCCACCCCCACCCTCCTGGCGCACCACTGGGGGGCTTTCGGCCCTTGAAGAGGGAAAGGGAAAAGCTGTCCCTTTTGGGGTGAGCTGGTGGCTTCGGGGAGGGCTGCCGGGACTCTAGAGCAGAAGGATCTTGGCAGCTGCTCCAGGTTGGGGGCAGGAAGACGGCGGCCCCAAAGGAGACACAGAAGTCGCCAAGCCCAGCGATTCCCGGCTCCAGCCGGTGCGGGAAAGCGCCAAGCGTGTGCTGAGCTACACGAGGACACTGGAGATGACCCAGCAAGGCCAGGGGCAGCTCATCGTCCTCCCCAACAACTGCCCAGCGCTCAGGGAATCGGAGATGGGGCAGGCACTAAGCCGGGCTGGCTGAGACGGGTGCCCATCACTATGGTGGCAGTGACACTGAGATGGGCACAGCCTGGGGGACACTCTCCAGAGTGTGCCTGCAGGTGGTCACTGATCCAGGTGACTCAAACAGGACTGGAAGCATGCCAGGACAGACTGGTGAAAAGCAAATCCATGCAGAAGTTTTCTGTAAAAAAAATAAGCTGATCGGGGGCTGGAGTGATAGCACAGCGGGGAGGGCGTTTGCCTTGCACGCGGCCAACCTGGGTTCGATTCCCAGTGTCCCATAGGGTCCCCTGAGCACCGCCAGGAGTGATTCCTGAGTGCAGAGCCAGGAGTACTCCCTGAGCATCGCTGAATGTGACCCCAAAAAAGGAAAATAAGTAGATAAATAAATAAAGCTGCTTTTTTTTCCTCTTAAAGGGGGGGGGGGGTAGAGCAAGAAACACAAAGCAGAGTAACTAAGATTCTTGTTGGAACCCAAGAATAGCCGAGATAAGTACCAGGAGGTTCACTCCATGGCTTGGAGCCCAGCCGCACACTCTAGGGGTAAAGGCAGCTCAGATAAAGAAGGGAGCACCAAATAAAGAGTGTGAGGAATATCCGCCCAGGATGGGAGATGCATGCTGAAAGTAAGACTATAGACCGAACATGATTGCCACTCAATGCCTCTTTTGCAAACCACACACCCAAAAGGAGAGAACAAAAGGGAGTGCCCTGCCACAGAGGAAGGGTGGGATGGGGGATGGGGGGTGGAAGGGATACTGGGACCCGTGGTGGTGGAAAATGGGCACTGGTGGAGGGATGGGTATTTGATCGTTGTATAATTGAAACCCAAGCACAAAACTTTGTAAGTCTACAACTGTACCTCATGGTGTTTCACTAATAAAAATTAACAAAAAAAAAAAAAAGGTAAGTAACAACATAAGCAAAAATAGAAAATTCTATGAAAATTCAACAAAATATGCCTATACAAAAAAAAAAAAGATTCTTGTTGGATTTTAGCTTTAGTCACCTTCATCAAAACGACTGAAGCCGTTTCAGGATGCTAGATCTTGGGAAGAAGGATCACGAGAGTTACAGCAGCGAGGATGAGAGAAGGGACCATTCCTGCTGGCCAGGACCACGGGGGCCAGGATGGGCTCGGGATGGTGTGGTGGCAGACGGCGGGGTTCAGCCCGAGCCTCCCATACACGCTCAGGAGCCCCTTCCTCACCCCTTCTCCCGCCATCGCCAGTGACTAGATCCCGGGGGTGG